TTTTATCAAACTCGTCATTACTAGGCATATCAAAATCAATTGGCAAAAGAAAACTCATAAAACTAAATAAATCACTTCTTATTTTAAAGACTGTCATTAAAATGGAAATGACATTGTTACTGATCTTATCTGTCCTAATTAATCGCTTAACAAAAGGAAAGTTACACCTATCTTCCCAACCATTTTTCCATCCAATATGTTGTTTTAGAATTTCCCTCTCAGTTGAATACATAGTTATCAAAATAATATTGACTTATTAATCAATATAATAAAAACAAATAAAATAATATTAATTAACAAATATATGCACAAGATAAAAGTGGATTTAACAACTTATCTGATATTAGTTTGATAATCCAAAGAGAAAAATTCCGTGTAACTTTGTTTACTTTATACTTCAAAAATTGACTCGCCGAAACAGTTGTTTGGAGAATATTCGTTAATAAATAGTTTGGGACGTAACGCATAAAGGTTACGTCATCGCAAAAAAAACGTCAACACAAATGTACGCCTAAAACTAACAAGATTAGTTGTAAAACATGACATTTTTGAAAACATATTTCATAACATAGCTGAAGGCAAGTAAAATAATTTTTTTATTTTCATTTGCATAAAAGGTTGAAATTTCATTAACTTACGTCATCCATCAAAAAATTTATGTTTTGCATTTAAAAACGATTAATTAAAAAATATAAATGCTTTAAAAACAGTCTTTTTGTAAAAAAATCTCTAGGATGACGCAGGAATCTGATAGAATGGGCATTTAGGGTTAAGCATTCCAAATTTCAACTATCAAGCACTGAGCTATGTTATGAAATCTTAGTTGGCCCAACTCATGTTTTGCGGAAAATATGCGAAAATTAGAAAAGTGGTTCTAAATTATTAAAAATATTTTGGCAATATTTATTTTTATACCAATTAATGTAAATATTTATTTAACAAGGAAAGATAGATCTTTTATATTTTTTTAAATGCAAGATGAAAGCATTTATATAAAAAAGTTACTATTAATTTAAAGTTTGTGAATTTTTATACTTTTTATGCGGAAATACTTTTTTTTTTTGATAAACTCATGACGTCACGCTCGTTTTTATATTGAGTGAAACAGCCGTGGCTGCTCTTCACTAACAGCATCACTCCTTAAACTGTTCTGACCAAATCTATGTAAAATTAGTTAATGGTTCTTTTTCAAAAATTTGTAAGCCTAATCTTGCTCAGAGAAGTTCACTTTTGTTTGACAAGGATTCAAACTTTTAATGAATTGTCTTAACGCACCCAGATCTGAAAACTTTTTTTCCTGCTGATAAATTGCTTGTCATCGCTCAATTTTGAGCAATGACAAGCTCTTCATCAGCAGGAGCAGCAGTTCAATAAGTTTTCCACATATTATTGGCCTTATTACATAGATTATTTTTAAAATGTTAATGGACTCAGAGACTCTTTAAATCAGAATACCAGCAGCTTAAAAATGCACTTACCTAAGTAGCTCCTAGAGGTCTGGTTAAAATTTTGGCCATTTTTGCCCCTCAAATATTTGCTTTGAAATAGTATTTTTAAAATCTCAAAAGACAAATTTAATGACATGCAAAAAACATTTAACAACAAAAGTATTTTAATTTTAATTTTTTTGTAACATATTAAAATGATAGTTTGCATTGGTCTATAAAAAGTATTTAGAACGGGACACTGTATCTTTAAAACTTAAGCAAACTGATAAATATGCTAAACTAGCCATATTAACCCATCTGATGATATATATATATATATATATATATATATATATATATATATATATATATATAATATATATATATATATATATATATATATATAATATATATAATTATATTTATGTATATAAATATATATATATGTGTGTGTGTATATATATATATATATCAAGCCTTCCCAGGAAAGGCGTGCAGTTTTTCGTCTCGTATGACCACGCGCGATTTTAATATTTTAGAAAATGCGAACACAGCGGTTTGCAAGTTTTGTAATAATGCTGAAAAAGTTTCAAAAACAAAAAAACAAAACTAACAAAATAAAAAGAAATTGAAGTAGAAAAAAATAAAAACAAATTAATAATTTAAATAATTTGTGTACTGTTTTTGTTTTTGTTTCTTCAAAGTTACATTCAGCAACAAAATAAGATAAGGCAAAGCAAAAAAAAACAGTTTGAAGTCTGCAATAAAAAGAATGATTTTTCCTTTTCTTAATTTTTTTTTAAAAGGATAGCAAAAATGCAAATTGCAATGTGTTTGTAAAATTTATTTGTATAATTTTAATGTAACAACAAGGGTTGAATAAAGCGAATGCAAAATGCAAAATCTGGAAAAATATCTAGTATTCAAAATTTTAGTTTAAACAAAGCCGTGTTCTTTGTTTTTAAGGGAAGAATGAATTTAAATTTGTTAGCGAAAAAATAAAAAATAAAATAATAAACTTACAATTACAAAAGTAATAACACTCTAGTCACTAACTGCATGACAAAAGTAATAACACTATAATAGTGTTATTACTTTTATAACGCACTTATAACTTTTAAAATTCATTCTATGTTCAAGCAACATTAGTATTCCCAAATTTTAACTGAAGTAGAAAAATATCTAGACGAATAAAGTGGATGTTCAATAATGTTAAAACTAAAGTAACTTATAAAAACGCGACAAACCACTTTACGAAAACGTATTGTATTAAAAGTTTAGCATTATGAAAAACATTACTAATGGACCGTAAAAACGCGCGTTAATTTTAAAATAAACCGATAAAAAAATTTTATTGGTTGATTTTAAAATTAATTGAACAAAGAATGAACTTTAAAAGTAATAAGTGCTTTATAAATGTATTAACACTATTGGGCATTTCCAAAAAATCACGCACGGAAACTCGTATATGTTTTTACTTTTATTTTCATAAAAATAAAACTAGCGATCTCCAATATACTCTCATTTAATTCTAATCAATATAAATATTTTGTAAACAAAAAATAGTAAGAATTAGTAATGTTAACAAAGAATAAATAAAGTTTGAAATGGAATCATGCACGGAACAGAAAAACTTCTATTTTAGTTACTAGATAAATAAACTTTAATTCCTCAGACAATATAAGTTTCACCGGTATACTTTTTTTTTTTAATAATATTTTAAACATTAGTAAAAATTTCCAGAAAGTTACAGGATTGCACTATGAATCATAGAGTCACAGCAATCATTTAAATGCAGTTTATGAATGATCACGCACGGAAGTCACGCACAGATGTTGCAAATTTGTCAATTTCATGTAGTTATTTTTATGAAAAAAATTGCTAGTGAGTATTTTAAGTGAAATATTATACTTCTGCGACTCATATTTAATATATTTTCAATGAGAAACAGCAGTCATCAATTATTTCTAGCTAGAGTATGGCGTTTTGAAAATTATTGTATATTTTTCAAAATGTAGCGATATTATTACTCAAAAAAATAAAATTGTAAAAATGTGTATATTTAATTTATTCAGATAGCCTAAAATATATTAAAAATACTTTAGTTATAATTGTTCTTTAAGAAAATCAAAATAGTATGCATATTGCATAAAGTTCCAGCTTTTAATTGCTAAAACAAAGAAAAATAAAAAATCACGCACAGAAATGGAAATGCTCTATTACAGTTTTATTACTTTTATAATGCAGTTAGTGGCTAAAGTGTTATTACTTTTGTAGTGGTAAGTTTATTGTTTTTGTTTTGTTTTTTGTAACTTTCTTGTTAGCAAACTTTTAATGATTTGCTCCTTATAAACAAAGTACACAGCTTTGCATGAACTAAAATTTTAAAGACCTAATATTTTAACAGAGTTTTCAAATCGTGATCGTATAATTTAATTCTTGATATAAACTTGTTACATTATAGTTATGCAAATATATTTTACAAACAGATGACGATACATATTTTCTCTTTCCTCTTTAAAAGAAAAAAAGTCATCCTTTTTAACGCCTAAAACGTTTTTTTTTTTTTTTTTTACTTTGACTTGAATGAATTTTGTTGCCGATAGTAATAACCACTAAAAAAAAACAAAAATAAAAACAACACATAAATTATTTAAACTATTATTATTGTTTTCTTTTTAAGTTTACTTTAATTTCTTATTTAGTTATTAAATTTAAAACAATTTTTCAGTAACGCATATAACATAACTTACGCAAACGGCCGTGATCACGTTCTCTAACTTGAAAAACGTCTTCGTGGTCGTACGAAACAAAAAACCGCACGCCTTTCCTGGGAAGGCTTTATATATATATATTATATATATATATATATATATATATATATATATATATATATATATATATATATATATATATATATATATATATATATATATATATATATATATATATATATATATATATATATATATATATATATATATATACAAATAGTATTGCGTACTAAGGTAAGCAATCTAACGTCATACTGAAATAGCCTGCTGCTGGGGGCTTCAGTACATACATCGACTGACAAATATCCTGACTCGCAGTGGAGTGCTGCTACATCGACTGAGGGTTTGGGATGGGGAAGCAATCGTTTTATTCATCATTCTTCGTTTTTTCTTCTTTTTCGAAAAAAACAGTATGGCTTAAGGTAAGCAGAAAAAGTGAGCAAATGCTTATTAAAACACGCTTTAGTAAGTGTATATATATATATATATAATATATATATATATATATATATATATATATATATATATATAACAAAAGTACCCTTTCTAGTGTTTATTATCAACACATATGCAGTTTTTTAGTGCTTTATTTATTGTTATAAAATGTTTTTTATTATTCAACAAACATGCAATTTATTAAAAATTTATATTATTTTTATTTTTGGATTATTGTTTTTAATTTATTTACACTTTACAGGAACCTATATTTACACTTTACAGAAACCTAATTTGCATGTAATCTAAATGTATAAAGCAAAAATTAAATATTATTTAAATCTTTTGCTTTTTTGTTTATTAGATATTTTAAAACCATGCTTGGCAAAAAGATGCTACAACGGTACAATGTGCGTTGTTATTGATAATGATCTTAAAAAGGATGCATTGAACCGAACTAAATGTGTATGCCCAACAAAATGTGAAAATGTTGAAAAGCCTGTTTGTTGCAGCAAAGGGGTTACTTACAAAAATAAGTGTGAGGCACACAAGAAAGCATGCAAACTAAATGAACACATTGAAATAGCTTATGAAGGAAACTGTATTGGTAAGCTCTAAGATATTTATAACTAATGATTTAATGTTTTGCATTATTGGAAATGCAAGTAAGGTGCACATTATTATTATGCCCATATATAAAATTTTTTATATATGGGCATAATAAAAGTTATTAAATATATAAAAAAATTTTTTTTTTTTTTGATTTTAAATAATTTTTTATTTTATGCTTATTAAGCATTTATGTGTTAAATATTTTAAATTACATTTTTAAATATTTTAAATTATAGATTTTAAATGATTTTTTATTTTATGCTTATTAAGCATTTATGTGTTAAGATCGTAATAAAATGCAATTAAATAAATTTATTTATAATAGACCCTTTGTCTTGCCCAATATTTCTCTTTTCCTAATTGATGGTGTACTTTCTTTTGTTCATTTATATATGTATTACATATACAGTGTTGTATTTTTTATATTTTAAAATATCTTATGTTTTACTTGGAGTAGAGTAACTAATCTGAGATATGCCATAATTAGACCAATAAAAGTGGAGAAAATGATCTATTTAATCTCAAAATACCCAAAATTGATTTTGATGCTTTTTTTTTCCAATAAAAATCTGTAAGTATGTTGCCTCTGCATTAAATCCTTATTCATCTCTATCTACCTTTTTTTTTATAAATTATATACTAAGTCATTGCAAAATTTAAATTTGTTACATTTTTTCTTCTGGATTTATTTTATAATCTTCATAACTGGTTTAGACCATGTTGACAGGCACATGTCACCCTATGTTTTCAAATTTGTTTTTGCATAATTTAGAGAGCTTATGATCATTTGTAAAATCTAAACCTTTTATTATCCAACTTCTGAAGAACACTTTACTTGAACTATCTAACTTCTTAAGGTTGGACGGAAGAACACTTTATTATGAAAAGGTAGAATGAAAAAACACTTATTATAATAATATGAAAAATACATATTTAGAAATGCTAAAAATTGCGAAAAATTTTTTTGCTTTAAAAGTACTGTATGACATGGGGGTGCTTGCCTTACATATTATGTAGGAATCCTTCATAGACTTTTTATGTTTCTGTTTTTTTATTCTTATTAAATTTATTCATGTTTTATAAGCTTACTCTAAGTAAAACTGAAGATTAGTTCGCAAATCAAATTTCAATCATTTTTTTATAATAAAGATAAAAAATTTATAATAAAGATAAAAAATTTAACCAGTTTAAATATTTTGGGTCTACTTGTAGTTAAAATCATATTCAAGTTAGTTAATACAATATTTGATAACTTTCTTCCTCAATATTTAGAACTTTTTAAGAGGTTTTTTGTTCCTTGTACGAATCTGTTCAAAATATTCAATTCACAAATATTCTAAAATATATAAGCAATAAAAGTTTTAGACTTTAATTAGTTAAAGTAATCTCATATAAACCTAAATAAATATCTTTGTTATAAAAAAATAAAACTTTTTTAATTTATCTTTATGTTTACTTTTTTTTCATGCATTTTTCTGAGCTAAAGGAACAATGATGTGCTACTGGTTGGTCAAATGTTTAACTAAAATTTTATATTTAGGGGTCATTGCATAATTATGTAGCGCTAAAAATGGCTATTTTTTAACCACCCACCCACCCTGTCACATTTGGTCACATTTCCCTAGACCTAACCACCCACCTCCCCCATTGTGATGTCATTTTATTTTTTTTTCACGAAATGGGGGAGGGAGAATTGTTTTTTTAAAAAACATAAGTTTTTTAATCGCCTCTTCAATAACTTTTGAATACCGTGCATTCTCGTCTGATCCTTTATCTGACCGTGACACCCATAATGGTTTTGGATGGTGTTTTGACAAAGTTATCAAATTGTTTATCATTAATTATGTGGCGTACGTCTGTGCCATGACTGTAGGCATTTGATGAATCATGCTTTCCAGAACGGATCGCTATATATGTTGCCCCAGAATTCTTTATTCCGATTGCCTTGTTGCCAACAATCTCATCATTGATAGTTAAGAAAGTGTAAACTGAAGGTATTAGTTTATGTTTCTCGGTTACAACCCAATCATGATCTTGCAATATTACTCGGTAATCTGTACTCATCATAATTCGCTGTTCCTTACTTTCTGCAGCAACTTCAAGAGCAACTCTAGCTTTATCATCAAGTAAAAATAGCATTGTGTTTTGTGGGCCAATAAGTGTGCATAGTTCCATAACAAGCCTGATAGCTGCGAAACCAAACTGGGCATCCACATTTTTCTTTGGAGCATTAAATTGAGCTTTAACAAGTTTCACTGGAACCCTTTGTACATGTCTTTTGCCTTCATTTGTATTCCAACGATGTGGTATGAGAAATCTGTATACAGCAGTTCTTTCAATAGTGTAACCTTTTTCATTGAGCATTATTGTCAGATCATCTAAAGTTTTTGGACATTCCAATAATTCAGATGTGGATAGTTCTGCTCCTTTCTGGGACGTCCTGATTTATCAAGTAATGTTTCACCTGCAGCTTTGGATAACTTTTTGTATTTTTCTTTTTTTTTCAGGCAAAATTTTTGTGCTTGACAAGGGTTAAGTCGAAGAGTTTGAATAGCTTGTTGAATTTTTTTTTTTTCTAGTCGTCAAGTTTTTCAATTCTTTTCCTACTGCTTCTGAATCACCTAAACCTTTCTGTGGCTTCAATACAAGGAAAGATATGTTTGCATTTACTTCATCCAAACGTTTTTGTTCTCTGATTTCTGCTGGTGTATGGCATTGTTTATCTTCCAATACATTTTGTTTTTCAAACTCATTTATAGTTAATTCATTGATGGTGATTTTCAATTTGTCGATTACTGAAATATGGGTAACTTTTCACCAGCAAACGATTCAAAAGACACAGATGCAACCTCCTGCAATATTTTCTTTGCTGTAATGTTTGTCCAAGAGCTCAGATTTTTTGCTTTTCATTTTGCTACAACCATTTTTAACTCGTTTAATTTCATTTGACATGAAGATGGCTTCGATTTTAATTTGTTCCATAAAGTCAGTTGGTTGTGCTTCGATTTTTACGGATATGCAAGAACATAAGTATTCACTAGATCTTGGTAAAGATCTGGCATATTATTTAATTTATTTTTCTTGAACATGTCTATGGACATAGAATCATTAAAAATTGTTAATTTTTGGCATGAAATACAAAAATGAATTATATAACGTTATATATCTTTACTAACTCAAACGATAGTTTAAGTTTGTAAAGATGTATAACGTTTATCTATTATATCTTTCAGCAAAAAAGTTCTCTAGAAAAAAGACGTCTGTTTATTACTGCTAAAAACCATTGTAAAAAAGGTTTTGTCTAATGCCAAAGCCCGCTATTCTCAGATCATGAAATCTCATATTTCATCGCAAAAATTAGGCTCTTGTGACTTCTGGAGAATCTTCAATAGTATCAATAATAAGGGCAAATCTGTAATTTCACCTTTCTTGTATGGTTCAAACTTTGTCACCTCACCTAAAGACAAAGCTGAATTATTTGCTAAGAACTTTTCATCAATATTATCTCTTGATTCCACTAGTTGCATTCTACCTGATATAATCGTCAAACAGGTTGGACCATTGCTTGACATTCGTATCCAGCTTCTGTATACAAAGTGATTTCCTGCTTAGACTCTTCTACAGCTTGTGGCCCGGACAACATACCTGTTATAGTCTTGCAGAAGTGTTCTCTGGAGCTGTCGTCTATCAATTCAAAACTATTCAACAAGTGCTTATCAGAGTCTTGTTTTCCAGCCTGCTAGAAAATTGCATCTCTTATCCCTATTTTTAAAAATTCCAGAGTGCGATCTGGTTTGCCTAACTACCGTCCCATTAGTCTTCTTCCTATCATAAGCAAGGTTTTTGACACTTTAATCCAAGGTTTTTGACACCTAATCTCTCATCTTGAATCTAATAACTTACTTTCTGATCATCAATATGGATTTCGATCTTCTTGTTCTACAGCTGATTTGCTAACAGTAATAACCGATAGGTTTTCTTGTGCGTTAGATAAAGGTGAAGAGGTTAAGGCCATCGCTCTTGACATTTCTAAAGCATTTGGTAAAGTTTGGCATGTTAGTCTTTGCCATAAGCTTTCTTCTTACGGTGTATCTGGAAACATCCTTAAGATTATTGAATCCTTCCTTTCTAAATGTAGTATAAAAGTTGTCCTTGATGGACAGCACTCTTCTTCTTATTCTGTAACCTCAGGGGCTCCTCAAGGTTCAATCCTTGGCCCTATATTTTTTTTAATTTACATTAATGATCTTCCAGATATTCTTACATCTAAGGTGGCATTGTTCGCTGATAATACTACCATTTATTCTTGTCATGATAAAAAGCCAACTCTAACTGATTGCTTGGAGGGGGTATTTGAGCTTGAAAAGGATCTCACTTTTGCTACAGCATGGGGCTCTCAGTAGCTGGTGAACTTGAATTCAGATAAAACTCAATTTTTTTCAGCCAATTGTTATTGCAATAATTTTGACCTTCCTATATTTATGAACAGTAATGTACTTGGTGAGTCATCTACCCTTCATCTTCTAGGATTAACTCTTACTTCCAATCTTTCTTGGAAACCATATATCAAATCTGTTGCAAAATTAGCATCTGCTAAAGTTGCATCTCTTTATCGAGCTCAACCCTTTTTTACTCTGGATTCTGTTCTCTATCTCTATATATTTCAAATCCAGCCTTGTATGAAATACAATTGCCATATCTGGGGGGGGGGGGGTCTTCTAATGATACCCTTTCTCTTTAAGGCAAGGTGCACAAACGAATTGTAAACATAGTTGGACCTGCTCTTGCAGTCATCCTTCATCCATTATCAGATTGTTGTAAGTTGCTTCTCTTTCTCTTTTCTATAAATACTATTACTACCCTAAAGAGATAGTAACTCTTGTGCCATCTACTAGAATTCATTCTTGTGTTACTTGTCATTCAATTAAATCTCATCCTTTTTCTCTGACTGTTCCTAAGTGCTCCAAAAATTTATCTAGTTTTTTCCTCGAACATCAGTTCTTTGGAATTCGCTTCCTTCATCTTTCTTTCCTGATTCATATAATTTGCAATCTTTTAAGTCGTCTGTCATTCGTTATCTTGCTCTAAAATCTTTATCTTTTCTCTTCCAGTAACTTCTAATTTTAATTAGTGGTTGCTTGCAGCCTTGTTGAAAGCAAAGATGTTTAAAAATATATATATTTACTTTATGAGTCTCCTCTGGAGCAAAAAATCCATGTAAAATTGATCTTTTTTTTAAAAAAGGGGGCATAACGTTTTTGGAGCCAACACTATATTTAAGTTAAGCTCTATAAAATCTTAAGTAAAAACTTAAGATTTTATAAAGTTTTTATGAAATTTACAAAGAAAGAAACCTAACCTTTTAGTTTTAATTTTATGTATTTTTTTTTTATTAAGCAAAAAATACATGCAGCTTTGATGACTTGAATTCATTTATTCCCCGTTTTTTGGAGTGGATGAGATCAGTTCGAGAAGAGTATTTATATGGAGACCTAATCATTAAAACAAACTCTCTGGATTTCGGAAGCAACGAAGGAGAGCATGTTGTTGAAGTAAGTTTAAAGAAAAAATCAAATTTGTATATATTTTTTACCATGTATGATAGTTTATTTATCTTTTATCGGTTCTGTCAACCAGCGTTGATAAATCTCCCAATATATTTTTAGCAGCAAAATGTTTTTTTTTTCTGCTTCTGCCTTTCAATTGGTGGCTGCAGCCAGAGCATTTTTTCAAAGCAAAATGTTTTAGGGACTGACGCTGATACAGACGCAGAAGCCATTGGTGGCTGCCTCCAATTAAAATTTGGAGACAAAATGATTTGGATACCGCCTCCAGTAGCTTCTGCTTCCCAATTTGGAGCCAAAAAAATTTGTCTTCCTCCGGCGGATGTACTGAAAAATAATTTTATTTTTGTTTGTTTTTAAGTTAACAAACCATTTAATAAGTTTGTTTTTAAGTTAACAAACCATTTAAGTATTAATTAGGAACAAAAGTTAATAAATTTGACATCAAAGTTTTGTTTTATATGAATTATTTAAGAAAATTTGACTATTTAATTAGAATATTAATTTTATCATAGAAAAACCAAATAAAATTAATTCAAAATGATAATAATATATCGCTATATATGTAAATAATAAAATGAATAAAAAAAATATAACCCCATTGTAAATAGTAAAATGAATAAAAAAACAAAATGCCATTGTAAATAACATAATTGATAAAAAATTTAGGATGCTGACTAATTCAAAAAAACTTTGATCAAAATCTGACAATTTAATTACTTATAAATTTGTTTTTATTAATGGCATGGAAGTAAAAGTTCCAATTTTAAACTTTTCTTTTGAATATTAAATAACAAATTTCTTCTATAGTTAGATAAAAAAATTATAATTCTTTTGAAAAGTCAAAACTTTTGCAATAAATCAAATCAAATATTTAACATTTCACTGTGGACCAGAGATGAGTTTAGGTTTAATGGAGTGTCACTCAAATGAAACCTTTTTTATTTAAGAATATTTGTATTATAACAATAAAAAAGAGATTTTTTAAAATCCGAATAAATTACAAAGTGTCATAAATGGGGCAAAAGGGAAAACACAAGGGGGGCATAAGCCCATTTAAGTGTACTAGTTGCAAATAACAAAAAAAAAAAATATTTTAATCAAGAGTATTTGTTTCATAAAAATAGAAAATAGCGTTTTTAAAGTTAAAAAAAAATGCTAGGAGTCACAAATGGGGCATAATCCAACAAAAAGTTAATAATTGTTCTACCGGGTCTTGAGCAGTAAGTCAAAGTTAATGATAAATTAAACTCTTCTTCCATTAAGACTTATTGCAAAGTTGATTCACGCATTGAGTATGCTTTTTTAAAAGTGTAACTTTAGTCTGTGTAGATTTAAGTCTAGAATAAACTGTCCATACTGTTCGGAAAACTGACAATAAACTGTTCAGCAAACTTGGATGATAGGAATCTTGGTTCAATAGGAAAGATTTTTTTAATAAAGCAAATAATAACTTGTTCTTATTCAAAAGAGTTTGAACAAAACAAAAGTTTTTTACTATTTTAATGTGTTTTATACACTAAAATATAGGTCTATGCTGAGGAAACTAAGACGTAAAGTAGTATTTGAATACTAATTTCTTTCTATTCAAAACAGTTAGCTCAACAATGTGGAGAGTTTATTTTAAATTTGAACACACATGAAGAAGCTTCAAACCTAAAGAAGAATTCTGACGTTACTTTTAATGAAAGAAGAGAATAATTTATCATTAAATTTGACAAACTGCTTACGACCCGGAAAAACAAATTATTCACTTTTTGTTGGATTATGTAAAATATTTACAGTAATATTATAAAATTTAAAATTTTTTTTGTTGCCTAATATCTTGTTTAACTTATTTGACATTTGTTTTTAAAATTAAAATTCAACGGGCACCTAAAATGGTAAAATGGGCTTAGGTCCCCCTCAATTTTACCCTTTGCCCCATTTGTGACCCTTAGCATTTTTTTTTTAACTTTGAAAAAGCTATTTTCTATTTTTATGAAACAAATACTCTTGATTAAAAGATTTTTTTTTTTGTAATCTGCAACTAGCACACTTAAATGCCCCCCTTGTGTTTTCCCTTTTGCCCCATTTATGCCCCTTAGCAATTTATTTGGATTTTAAAAAATCTTTTTTTTACTGTTATAATACAAATACTCTTAAATAAAAAAAGGTTTCACTTGAGTGATACTCCATCAAACCTAAACTCATCTTTGGTCAGTGATTTGTTCTTAATATCTTAATTGCTCAAAAACTTAAAAACAAACATGAAATTATTTTTCACTACATCCGCCAACGGGAGGCAAGTATTTCTGCCTCCAATTTAGTAGCGCAGCTGGCTATGAGGCAAAAGCCATTGAAGACAACCTCTAAATCATTGCCTTCAAAATTTCTTATGGAGGCAGCCATCAATTGCTTCTGCTTCGCTATTGGCATTGGTCTCCAAAACATTTTGCCTAAGATAAAAAATCTGGCTGCCTCTGGCAGAAGAAGGCAGAAGCCACTGGATGTGGAAGAAAGAACATTTTTCTGCTATAAATTTATTGGGAGGCCAGCCTTCTGTCTCCCTAAAAAGTCAGCCTTTTTGCAGAAAGTTACTTTGTCACTGGGCAGCATTATCAACTCTGCTGTCGTTATATTTCAATTTAATATTTCAAAACATATCGGTTTTGAAAATCTACAATTGATAAAGAAAAATTTGTTAACTAAATAATTGACAGAGTAGTTAAAAAAAATAACTATGAATGACCTACCATAATTCATATATAATATTTATCATTAACAAATAGTCTAAAGCAGTTATTCCAATTATTTATTATAAAAGCGTCAAATGATTAGCTAGGTAATACATTTTGATTCATCTTTTAAGTTACTTTTTGTATTATTATTTAAATCATGTAATTTTGATATTTTTTGACTTTTTTACTAATCATTTTTTAGTGGATGTTTAAATATTTTGATGAAAGCAAAGATGATATAATAGGTCCAATAGAAATTTCTAATTTGTTAAACAGTCTGATGTCAATGGAACCTTGCATCAAAGATTTCATTAACGAATGTGATAGTGATGGAAATGGTCATATCTTTTTTTCTGAATGGAAAAAATGCTTGCTACCAGGATGTAAGTCTTAATAACAATTATTTTAAAAACAGTTTTTCTTTTTAGTTTGCACTAATTTATAATCATAGTTCATAAAGAATAGATAATAAATAGAAAATAATTAATCAAGTAATAATAAATAAAATTTAATTTGTTAAAAATAAGTTTTTGAAAATCATTTTAGTCAAATCCTTCTTTTAGTGCAAAAAATTGTCATATTGTTAATTTTATCAATTAATTGACAATAATTTGAAAACCTGTGGAAACATTTTTAATTTAGTATGGAATTAGTTTATGTTTCTCTAACAGACAAACAGACAGTTATTTGTGGCACAAGTAGTTGGGTAAAATATAAATAAAATTTATGAGTAGACTCTGAATCTTTCATGTGTGGTTTCTTTAATATGTTTTTCTTAGTCTATATCTAAGAATCAGAGGGGGCTACAGGAGATCAGTTGAAATGTATAATAATATATTTAACATTGATTATCAACATTAAATATGATATCAATATAATATCAAATATAACTTAAATGGTAGACAACTATGAATGCTTGTTTCCATTAAAACATTTAATGTCACTCATGCATTTAGCTAATCTTACAGATCTTGCAGACTGCCGTTTATTTACTTTGCAGATCACCATTTATTTACTTTTTATACAAAATTCTTTCTTGAAAATAAATTAAATAGCAAGTTGTGTCGTCAAATTTGTGTCGCAATTTTCAATTTTTATCGTTTAAAATTCAATACTTTTTTTAATACTCATAAATTTAATAAATAATTTAAAATAAATAAATTAAATTAAATTTTTTCTGATCTAGGATTATTAGTTAGCAGATTTTTATTTTCTCTATGCAAACTATCGTGTTGTATATATGCAAACTATCGTGTTGTATATATGCAAACTATCGTGTTGTATATATGCAAACTATCGTGTTGTATATATGCAAACTATCGTGTTGTATATATGCAAACTATCGTGTTGTATATATGCAAACTATCGTGTTGTATATATGCAAACTATCGTGTTGTATATATGCAAACTATCGTGTTGTATATATGCAAACTATCGTGTTGTATATATGCAAACTATCGTGTTGTATATATGCAAACTATCGTGTTGTATATATGCAAACTATCGTGTTGTATATATGCAAACTATCGTGTTGTATATATGCAAACTATTATGTTGTATATATGCAAACTATCGTGTTGTATATATGCAAACTATCGTGTTGTATATATGCAAACTATCGTGTTGTATATATGCAAACTATCGTGTTGTATATATGCAAACTATCGTGTTGTATATATGCAAACTATCGTGTTGTATATATGCAAACTATCGTGTTGTATATATGCAAACTATCGTGTTGTATATATGCAAACTATCGTGTTGTATATATGCAAACTATCGTGTTGTATATATGCAAACTATCGTGTTGTATATATGCAAACTATCGTGTTGTATATATGCAAACTATCGTGTTGTATATATGCAAACTATCGTGTTGTATATATGCAAACTATCGTGTTGTATATATGCAAACTATCGTGTTGTATATATGCAAACTATCGTGTTGTATATATGCAAACTATCGTGTTGTATATATGCAAACTATCGTGTTGTATATATGCAAACTATTATGTTGTATATATGCAAACTATCGTGTTGTATATATGCAAACTATCGTGTTGTATATATGCAAACTATCGTGTTGTATATATGCAAACTATCGTGTTGTATATATGCAAACTATCGTGTTGTATATATGCAAACTATCGTGTTGTATATATGCAAACTATCGTGTTGTATATATGCAAACTATCGTGTTGTATATATGCAAACTATCGTGTTGTATATATGCAAACTATCGTGTTGTATATATGCAAACTATCGTGTTGTATATATGCAAACTATCGTGTTGTATATATGCAAACTATCGTGTTGTATATATGCAAACTATCGTGTTGTATATATGCAAACTATCGTGTTGTATATATGCAAACTATCGTGTTGTATATATGCAAACTATCGTGTTGTATATATGCAAACTATCGTGTTGTATATATGCAAACTATCGTGTTGTATATATGCAAACTATTATGTTGTATATATGCAAACTATCGTGTTGTATATATGCAAACTATCGTGTTGTATATATGCAAACTATCGTGTTGTATATATGCAAACTATCGTGTTGTATATATGCAAACTATCGTGTTGTATATATGCAAACTATCGTGTTGTATATATGCAAACTATCGTGTTGTATATATGCAAACTATCGTGTTGTATATATGCAAACTATCGTGTTGTATATATGCAAACTATCGTGTTGTATATATGCAAACTATCGTGTTGTATATATGCAAACTATCGTGTTGTATATATGCAAACTATCGTGTTGTATATATGCAAACTATCGTGTTGTATATATGCAAACTATCGTGTTGTATATATGCAAACTATCGTGTTGTATATATGCAAACTATCGTGTTGTATATATGCAAACTATCGTGTTGTATATATGCAAACTATAATGTTGTATATATGCAAACTATCGTGTTGTATATATGCAAACTATCGTGTTGTATATATGCAAACTATCGTGTTGTATATATGCAAACTATCGTGTTGTATATATGCAAACTATCGTGTTGTATATATGCAAACTATCGTGTTGTATATATGCAAACTATCGTGTTGTATATATGCAAACTATCGTGTTGTATATATGCAAACTATCGTGTTGTATATATGCAAACTATCGTGCTGTATATATGCAAACTATCGTGTTGTATATATGCAAACTATCGTGTTGTATATATGCAAACTATCGTGTTGTATATATGCAAACTATCGTGTTGTATATATGCAAACTATCGTGTTGTATATATGCAAACTATCGTGTTGTATATATGCAAACTATCGTGTTGTATATATGCAAACTATCGTGTTGTATATATGCAAACTATCGTGTTGTATATATGCAAACTATCGTGTTGTATATATGCAAACTATCGTGTTGTATATATGCAAACTATCGTGTTGTATATATGCAAACTATCGTGCTGTATATATGCAAACTATCGTGTTGTATATATGCAAACTATCGTGTTGTATATATGCAAACTATCGTGTTGTATATATGCAAACTATCGTGTTGTATATATGCAAACTATCGTGTTGTATATATGCAAACTATCGTGTTGTATATATGCAAACTATTATGTTGTATATATGCAAACTATCATGTTGTATATATGCAAACTATCATGTTGTATATATGTAAACTATCATGTTGTATATATGCAAACTATCATGTTGTCATGGATTTAAACAAATGCCATTTGGAATCATAATCAAAAAGATCGTTTCATTTTAACCTCATTTATTTAAAATGGTGAACCAAATTGGTTCATCAGCTAAAAAATAGGTTTACTTTTTACATATGCTCGTTGTGCATAACACTATTGATTCAACGTTGATTAAGTGCTTCTTGCCAGAGGAAATGGTCAGAAGACCATTGTTTACTTACTTCTTTTTTTTCTTACTGCGTTCACCTCCCCAAGGGTGTGGGGACCACTACAGTTGAGGAAGCTGCTCATTTTTCAACCTTTTAACTACGGATTGCTAACCATGATAAGCAAGGCCAATTATAATAAATTACAGTATTCTACGCGCGTATATCTAATCTTCATGTTTGTGGTTGTTTAAGAGGAATTTTTTTTTTTGTCACGATATTTCAAAATCAACTCTGTTTTTTATTCAGTAGCTCTTCCGCATTTTTATTAAATAAAATAATTAGTTTTTCGTATAAACAAAGTAAACATTTTTTATATTTTAAATGCAGATTTATAAACAAAAACATAATAAGAAAATATATTTATACAAATATGGTGAGCCAATATCAACTAAAAGCTAGTGCAATACTAAAAAACTATTTTAATTTTGTTCTATTTTTCACAAAAAGAACATGGGTTTGATGAAATCAGTCTAAATCATTTTTAAACTGCCTTGCACAAGCATCTCATGGAGAATATCCGGTTTCCAAAAATTTTTTTTAAGTTTTAAAGCAAGTGCGACAAAAATAAAATGCATGGTAAAATTTTTGTTAGCCTTGAAACGACGTTGAGGCAGTGATGTCATTTCAACGGTTGTAAATAGCGATCTTGTTGATCAGCGTTGATCTCAACTGAACACCACAGTATCAACGTTACATCAACAATATTGGGCACAATGGGTGGTGTTATCTTCAATTAATTTTTTTTTAAACAAAATTTTATTTTTGTAAAATAAATGTTTCCTTACATCATGTTTTTTTGTTTTTAGCTAATTCGGTGGAGGATACATTTTTTGACAATATTTAAAGTATTTTATGAGGCATGTATATTTATAATATAGCTTTTTTTAATATTTACTTAAAATAAATTTTTAATGAAATAAACAATGTAAAAACAAACGAATTCGTTGATAGTTGTAATTTTTAAAATCTTCCCTTCCTTTTTTATTTATATACAATAGAATTCTTTTTGTAATTTTTTTTAATGCTTCACCAGTTCGTAAATGTATAAATGCATGGTCTCTTTTTTTTTGTAATTTTTTTATCCTAGAACCACGCACTATTTTTTGACAGAATACCTTATTACCTTAGAGCAAATTTTGTACTGTTTTGGTCAGAAAACAAATGTTTAGATCGTGGCGCATTTGTTACAGCGTTGACTTTGAATCTGAAAGATTCATGGTTCAAAGCCAGCTCAGGTTGTTTAAGGCCAGTCCAAATTTTTATAGTAGTTCGGCTGACATTATACATATTTCATTTAGAACAAACTGTTTTTCAAAAATTGTTGGTTGAACTATACCTAGATAAATAATACTTAGCAAAAATTATCCCAAATAAAAAAAAAAAATTATTATCGACAATATAAAGGTTGACGTAGATTAGCTTTTAACTAAAAAAAGAATATTTTAAAAAGTAGTGTCTAAAATCATTAAGGACAACTTTTCTAGTAATCTAGAACCTAAGAAGTATCGACGAAGTATTCTATCATTAATTCTATCATTAATTCCATAAAATGGTTGAGATGGTCAGCTAGAAAATTCGACAATTTAGAATTTCTTTTAACGATAAACACCTAAATGTCGAGTATCCATTAATGCTTTGCGATTTTGTTTTTACAGGCTTTTTGATGGCCGTAAAAACAGTAATGTTTATGTCGAGTAGAATAATATTTGTAATAAACAAAATGAAACGTGATGTTGTGCTTTTATTTGCACACACATCAACAACACTCAATTATTAGTTGAATTAAAAAATAGTTCTGATAAGTTTACATTATTAAAAACAGTTGAACAGATTAAAGATACTGGGAATTGTAAAAGTTTATATAAACATTTATAAAGATGAATTGCAAAGACAATCGCAATCAGTTTTGTAAAACAAAACAAAAATTGGTTTAGAAAATAAATAGGAGTTTCACTTAAAAAGGTAAATCATAGTTATTGTAATAAATTGTTTTATTATTATTAAAATCTGATTTACTTGTTAATAATAATGATCCAGCCAATCAATAGTTTTTGTAATAAATTGTTTGTTAGTAATTTTCTAGATTGAAACAGTGGCGTAGCTACCATATAACAAGAGTAGGCAATGCCTAGGGGCCTACACAGGCAGGGGGCCTTTTACCAGGGGCCCTTTTCCTTAAGTTACTTTAATTTTTTTTGAAAATTATGTCAAAATTGGGTTTAAGTGATCAACGTCCGTAACTATAGCCACTGCAACTTGCTAAAATTAGATTATAAATTATTCACATCTGTAACCGTAGCCACTGAATCTTGTTAATCAAAAATAACTTTTTGCACTTATATTTTAATAGTTTTTGCGTATCTTGTTTGATCATTTGTAGACAGATTTTGTAAGTTGTAAAAAATAGTTGTATCTAACCCCTACTTAAATATGGATGGTTTAAAAAAAATCAAAAACGATGATTGGAGCATATAAAAGAAAACTTAAAAAACAAAAAGTAGAAGAATTGAAAAAATTAATAAAACTTGATTTCTTTTGCACAGAAAGAGAAGACAATGCTGCAAATATGTCAACGGCAGACAACAATGATGGAATGGTTGAGCGGGGACATGATGATGAAATAGAATTAGAAGATGCTTTAGAAGAGAGTCAAGAGACAAATAGGAAAGTATTAACAGAAGTGCAAAGTGTCGATATAATTCAAACAGAAAGAGGTGATGTAATTAAAATAATTGATCTTGGGCAATATCAAAATCAAAACATTTCTGATGAAAAAAAGAGATCAATAATAAATTGTTCACTCCATAGACCAAAATGACCGTTTCCTAAAAATCCTGCCCAACAAAATAATTGTTTTAGTGAAACTTATTATTATTCTATGGCAAAATATGGTCCAATACCACGCATGTGGCTCTGCTATTCCACTGTTTTGGACGCTGCATATTGTGAACCTTGCTGGCTGTTCTCAAATATTAATCGCCAATGGCGTTCTGGTATAAGAGATTGGTAAAATTTGTCCCAAAAATACATAGTTGTTCCCAACAACACATTGAAGCATGTTCTGTACACGAAATGAGGAAAAAAAATGAAACCATCGATAAAAATGCTGAAAAACAAATACAATAAAAGGCCTCTTTTTGGAAAACGGTTTTGGATCGTTTAATACGTATGACACATGCTAACTAAAAATTCTCTAACATTTTGTAGCCATTGAGAAGGATTTTTGGACAACTATATTGGAAATTTTCTTTTTTAAGTTGAATTACTTGTCAATTATGATAAAGTTATGAAGCAGATACTAGACATGCCATCCGGTTCAATTAGATATTTAACAATTCAGAATGAAGTAATAAAATGTTTGGGAGAAAAAATGTTAAAGGAATTGACATCTAAGATTAATGCAGCACCATTTTATTCTCTGATGTTAGGCACAACACAAGACATTACAAAAGTCTATCAGTTAAGTATTACTATACGACATGTCCACATTATTCGGAACAATAATGAACTACCAACAAATTTCGAAAGTGAAACCTTTCTAGAATTCTATGAATTAAAGGACCATTTAGCAGAAAACATGTCTGATTAGGTAATGCAGATTCTGAAGGAAATGAATATTCCCATAGAAAAATGTTTTGGGCAGGGTTACGATGGGGCTAATGTCATGAGTGGTGTGTACAATGGTGTACAAACAAGAATTAAAAGGATGCAGAGTATGTGAATTGTGCCAGTCACAATCTCAATTTGGCAATTAATGGCTTTGTTAATGGTTGCCGTGAAGTATCGTCATACTTTGCCACTCTTCAGAATATATATTTTTTTGGAAACAACATAAAGAGGTAGGATCTTCTATCTTCATTCACTGGCGAGTCAGAGATTACCTTAAAAAAGCTGAACCCGACTTGCTAGTCCGGTAGATTACAGTCTTTAATAGCTGTTAAAGTTCGCTATATTGATATATTAAAAGCTTTTACTGAAATCAATCTGAAATCTAACAAAAAGGATAAGAGAGATGAGACTATCCAAATACAAAAAAAGGTGGCAACATTTGAATTTGTCTTTATCAGTCTTTTTTTATATATGGTGATGTGCAAAATTAATTACGCATCAATACTTCAGAAGAAAGACATTGGCTTAGATGAAGCTGCTCTTGTATTAAATCGAATCAGTGAAAAAATTCAAGACTTTAGACAACTGTATAAACAAGCCAAAAAGTGGGGAATAGACACTAATTTTTAGGCAAAAAGACAACCACGCAAAAAAAATACAAATTGAAGAGTTGGCTTCAGGTTATTGCGTTGACGACATGGAACAATTATTTAAAGTTGAAGTATTTTATTTTGTTTTGGACAAAATAAATACTCAGATTAAGCAGCGATACAAACAATTACAAACTGTTTTGGATTTCTTGAACCCAAAAACATTGTTAGTTTACCAGAAGCAGAGCTTTTAAAGTTATGCGCCAAATTCAAAAACAAATACCCAGAAGTGATATACTCTGAGTTTCAAATTCAGTTTCTACACACAATTTCTCTAATAAAAAAAATTAAATGAAAAATGTCTATAAAAACTTTTTTAGAATTGCTTCTCACAAAGTACAACTGCTTAGAAAGTGAATTTTCTGAAATTTTTACTGCTTTCATGTTGTTCTTTACAATTTCAGTTACAGTAGCCACTGTTAAGCGGTCATTTAGCAAATTGAAAATTATAAAGGATTATAAAAGAAATTCTATTGGCCAAAGCAGGTTACGGAATCTTCCAATACTAGCTACTGAACATAAAGAGGCAGTAAAACTAAATTATGCAGATCTTGTCAATGATTTTGCAAACGCAAAGGCAAGAATGAAAGAACTTCTAATTAACAATATTCTAAACTTGTTACTTTTAAGTTGTAATATTGTATTTTTATGAACTATTTTTATGAAAAGCTTACAAACTTTTCAGCGAATTAAGTGATCTATTTTTAATTTCAATTCAAATATTTTATTGATTTTCAACAAGAAACAAATGTAAAACTACGAATACAAAATAACAAACAAAATTTTACTTTTGTAAATTACATTATGCCGAGTTAGGTCATGTGGGTGGGGGCTAGGGGCCGTCCACGGATTGTTGCCTATGGACCTAAAATTTTTAGCTACGCTACTGGATTGAAGTTAAATCTTTTTGCATCTACATATACTGCTAATTAAATTTCTATTACACAATATAGTTTTTCATTTTAAAATTTGGTTTGGTATTTTTTATTTGTTAGTTTCTAATCATTCAAGTTCTTAACTTTTGAAGAAAAAAATCACTTTTTTTTGGATGGAGTTTTTTTTAGCAAAATAGTTAATGACAAATATTGTTTAAAAAGAAGATGTTTTAAACACATGTTTTAATACATTTAAATCGTACTAACAATATAAAACTAGGTTTCCGAAAGAAGATCATAAGGATCTTATCATCGAAACCTTAAAAAGTAAAAATATTTATTTATAACATATATATATATATAGAAAATTTAACGTATTTACATTATGCAAAATACAACACATTTTAATATATAATAAGTTGAAGATTTAACAAATACATTTCACATACATTTTTAATAGAATTTTAGAATGTTGTCCATAGAGAGAATGAATTTTTTTAACTTAATTTTAAAAACAAGAAGAGTAATAGAAGGATCAAAATTTGGTAATACTATTTTATTCCAAAGATGGGGTGCACGATATGCAATACAAAATTGATTGAACTTAGTTCTACAAAAAGGTTCATTTAAAAAACTATTATTTCTTAATGTGTATTTATTTATTGGTTTGAAAGAAAAAAGGTCGTTAAAAACAAATAAAGATAAATCGTTTTTCCATATAAAAGTAAAACATAAGACATTAAATATGTTCAGTTTATAAACATCTAGAATCTTCATATAATCAAAAAAATGTTTTGAATGTGAAAAGCGATCTGCATTATTAACTACGCGGATTGCATGTTTCTGACGGCGATAAAGATGTTGTAATAATTTCTAATAATTTGTTATGCAACAACCAGTTTGCTTTAAAAGAATAATTCCAATGAACATCTAGTTTTCAAATAAAATTTCTAACTCCTTCACAAAATCAAAGTATACATTTGGCGTTTTTATCGATCTTTCAAAACACTCGATACTGTCGATCGTGAAATTTTGCTACAAAGTATACTATAACCTCTGAACCATTTTATAACTGCAAAGTTATAAAATGGTTCAGAAGTTATTAATCTAACCGTAAACAGTTTAGCTTCAGCAACAATGATTATTCAAATGTGTTTCTAAATACTCATTTTCCATTTTTGAAGATCTCTTTTGTGTAAAATGAATATATAAATTATTATTTAGAAATATTTTTTATATATAAACCTTTTTGTCTAACCAATTTTAATCAATTTTGTATTTAATATTGTGCACCATATCTTTGGAATGAAATAGTTTTGTTCGATTTTGATATATCCTAAAATTTTTCTGTTTAAAATTCAATTATCTCTTTAACTCTCAATTGATGATATAATCAAGTACTTTCAGTATTAACTATGTATTTTGTTAAAAACATTTATTTGTAAAATAGATTTTATTTTGTCCTGGAGCGATTTAAGAAATAAAATAAGAGGGCGGACGAATCCTTAAAAACTGCCGACTGCTTTCTAAAAAAAAAATGATCCTCAAATTAGAAATCTGCTGACAACTGACTATATTGCTAAAAAAACCAATTATAACTTGAAAATCGTTTTCTTTAAGAGGAAGGGGTTAAATCTCCCGTAGAATCGTCCTTAATTTTGTTGAATATCTAAATAATGTTGAATATATACATACGCTTGTAAAAGGCTCTGACGATAAGGTCAGTACGATCTTTCGGAAACTTTGTTTGTGTTTGTAAAATATTTTATACACTATGGCAATTTATGTAAACTAAGAAAACACAAAAGTTAAATTTTTAAAACAAAATTTTAACTTAATGACGTCGAGACAACATAAAAAATTAAAACGTTAGGGGTCGCCCATAAAGCACGTACGATTTTATTTCAACCTCCCCCCCCCCCCCCAATATTCTACAATATGATTTTTTGAGTAACCTCCCCCTCCCTAAAAGTACCTACGCTTTTAATTAAAAGCGTAGGTACTGCAAATGGCGCGATCACACGATCTCTTTCAGATTTACGCGATCACACGATCTCTTCAGATTACGCGATCACACGATCTCTTTCAGATTACGCGATCACACGATCTCTTTCAGATTTATTATTTTTTAATTTATCAGATCCACGATCTCTTTCAGAATTACAATTGCTCTTTCAGAATTAAAATTGCTTTTAAGTAAAAGCGTAGGTACTGCAAATGGCGTATATGAGATGGGGGGGGGGGGCAGTGGGTAGGTAGGTTAATTAACCTACCTACCCAACATTTTTTAATATTTTTTTCAATTTAGCGTCTTACTTTTATAATTGACCCTCTGCCCCCCCCCCCCTATCTCATATACGCCATTCGCAGACCTCCTTTTTTCTTCCGAGAGCACGTACTTTATGGACGATCCCTTATCATTTGTTTAATTTTTAATCAAGACTAAAATACAAAAATAATTTACAATTTATTTTGTTGTTATTTAGAAGTCAGAAGTTGAACTTATAGATTTTACGAAAATTCTGAAAAAATGACGTAATTAAACTTATATGACATCATCTAAATATTTTCAATTCTCTGATAACAAACCAACATAAATGTTTTTATTTCTTTGGTAACAACAAACCAATATAAATGTTTTCAATACTCTGATAACAGCAAACCAACATGTTTTAAATTCTTTGATAACAACAAACCAACATAAATAAAATGATAACCTTTCCGACTTATTTATTTTACGGAATGAAAAGATACCACAAAAGTTTATATCCATAAAGTACGTACGCGGTAAACCACTGATCTAGGACGCCCTTCCCCCCAGTGCAAACCTGTACACTTTTGAAAACCCCCTCCCGTTTCTCCGCATACGTACGCATTTTTTTTTTTTTCAAAATTAACTCGATTTTTTTTTTCTCTCCTCATAATTTATAAAGAAATTTAAAAAAAAAATTGTGACTGAAGTCAGAAAAAAAAAAAAATTCTGATTTGTTACACACGCGAAATTCAATATTTAAAAAAATAAATAAAATGAAGTTTAGGACAGATAGTCAAACAGCGTACCTACTGTCTTTAACACTTAGTCCTCCCCTCTCAAACTGGCATAAGTGCAAAGCAGTGGCACAAGTGTGAACTGGCATATGTGCGAATTTGCATAAGTGCAAAGCAGTTGCAAAAACTGGCACAAATGCAAATTGGCATAAGTGCGCCAAACAAATTTGCAAACATTGGCATAAGTGCAAAGCAGTTGCAAAAACTGGCATAAAAGCAACTGCTTCGCACTTATGCCAATTCGCACTTATGCCAGTGTTTGAAAAATGTTTTGGTGCTCTTATGCTAATAGGCATATATGCCAGTTCGCACTTATACCAGTTTTTGCAACGCTTCGCACTTATACCAGTTCGCACATATGCCAATTCGCGCTTATGCAGGCCTCCCGATTGCATCAGGTTACATCAAAATTGGCCGATGATTCATTTTTAAAAAAATTGAGGTAAAATTAGAAAAAGTTAAATTTATTATTTTTTGTCATTCACAAAAAGTTTGTAGTCGAAAAGTTTATAAATTATATCAAACTTCAAAATTCGATATAAAAAAATATAAACTTGATTTTTATTTTAAAAACTTTATTGCAATTAAAATACGATTATAAAAAAATTTTGAAAAAAAAATCTCTTTTAAGACTAATAAAACAACAATACAGCAAAATAAATAACGAAAGCACGGGGGTAGAGCGCAGTTAATGTTATTGAAATCGCAGATTTCTTTTAAAGTAAAAAAATTCTTTTAAAGCATAAACTTTAAATCACGTGAGTATTAAAATGAAAATTACTTCATATAAAAAATTACCAAGCAATATAAAACACAATACAAAACTTATTTTCACAATTCAAACTAATCTAAATCTAAATTCAAAAATCCGTTAGAAATCGAACTAACGTGCATAATTATAAAAAACAAATCATAAGTATTAAGATTGGTTTTTTCAAAAATACTTTTACTTTTTCCTAACGATAACGCTCTTTTTTTAAATACGTTTCATTTTAGTTAATATTTTTTATAAACTCAATAGGGGTCATCCATAAAGGACATCACCATTTTTTAGCCAATTTTTGACCTCCTCCCCCCCCTTTGTCACCGGTTGTCTTTTTTCCCTATACCCCCCTGGAAAAGGACGTCATAAAATCCTGGCGCCCCTCCCTATTTTTAACTGCAAAAAAATTTATTTCATCTTGCAATGATGATTGAATCTGCTGCTACACCTTTGAAAAATAAAATTAAAAAATATATTCATACATTATCTTCTCAAAAACACATGTTTACGTAGTTTTCCATGTTAATTAAGCTAAAAAAAAATCTATAAAGTGACGTCCTTTTCTGACAACCTCCCTCCCTCCCCTTGTCTTTTTTTGTCCGTTTTAACTCGACCCCCTCCCCCCTATTTGGATGACGTCCTTTATGGATGGCCCCATAAACATTTATTTATAAATTCTAATTAGTGATTTCGATCAAAAAACTACATGCTTTAACTTGTAACTATTCATTCCTGTATACCAATAGTAAATATTAAAAATGATATATATAAGAGGTAAAATTATGCGTGCATAAAATTCTAATTTCCCTGTTATTTTTACATTGTGTTGCTCGACTACAACAGCCAGAGCTTTAACGTCAGCTGTCGACATAGTTTTAACGCTTTTTATCGGTTCCGTCATTTTTTTTTCATACTGCAGAGATTGCATTTCAATCACATTTTTTTGAAAACTAACCCGTTTTTCCTTTAATAAAAAAAGACAAAAAACTGTAAAATATTTTTGAAACACAAAAATTAATTTGTATATATATATATATATATATATATATATATATATATATATATATATATATATATATATATATATATATATCATATATATATATATATATATATATATATATATATATATATATATATATATATATATATATATATATATATATATATACATATATATATATATATATATATATATATATATATATATATATATATATATATATATATATATATATATATATATATATATATATATATTGCTACATTTGTCCTTAATCTCATCATCATGAAACCACACATGACCCAGACGTTCTATTAGGACTGATTTATTGGTTATTGGCACGTTATGGATTTTATCCTTGAGCTTATCCCAAAGTGACTCTATAATATTCATGTCAGGAGAATTCCTTGGCCATGGGAGTACCTCTATGTCATTTTTTGCATCCAATCGTTGACTTTGCGTGCCGAGTGGCATGGAGCTGAGTCCTGCTGAAAAATACAGGTACTATCCTGAAACGTATTTGGGGCTTCAAACGAGTACTGAGCATCTCAATATACTTTTCCACATTCAATGTGCCCTGTACAATGCGCAGACGACTTGTCCCTTGGGTGGATATTGCACCCCATACCATGGTCTTCGTGGGGACTTTTACTGTCTGATGGAAGCAATCTTTTCTGAACTGCTCGCCTGGTCTTCTTCTTATAGTCTGAACTCTGTCATCTAATACTTGGATGGTAGACTTTTGATCAGTCCTCATCTTTCCAGTCTTTATGCGCCAAGGCCCATTCCATACGTGTTTCCTTCATTTTCTCAGTAAGCCAAGGTTTTTTTCTTAGGCGGTAAGCACAACGCCCAGCTTACAGCAATCTTCAATTAACAGTCATCCGACTTGTCAGAAGCAATTCTTCTACATGACGCTTTTCTGTCAGATTGGCACAGCTTTACAATTTTCCTGTCTGTTCGTAGAGTTTTTTTTTTCTCTTACGGACATATTTTCCAATCCTCTTTGCATCAAGGCCCTTGCTTTAATCAAGTGCTTTCTTCATTCTGCACACAGATGAGGTCGATACTTTCAATATTTTTGCTACTTTCTTCTGGCTCATTTCTGCATTGTTCAGTAAAACTTGAATTTGTCACTAATTCCTGGGGCTCAGATCACTCGTTTTCCCCATCGTATAGTCTAGAAAAAGCAAATTTTTAAAAAAAATATCAAATTTTAGGTACCAAAAGAAAATTCAAGACAAAACTGAATGCATAGCGGATACCAGATTAAAATTTGAAGTCTTCGCACCAGACCCCTAATTTTCAGGATCAATTAGTTTAAAAAACCACGTTTTCACCTCCGATTTCTAATAATTTATTCAGTACTATATATATATATATATATATATATATATATATATATATATATATATATATATATATATATATATATATATATATATATATATATATATATATATATATATATATATATTATTAGAAAATTATTTCAAAATTTTACTAATTTTTATAAAAAAAGTTATTAATTTTCAAAAATTAATTTTTTTTTTTTGTAAATATAATTAATTTGGTGATTCTTAATAATATCAAGATTAAATTTGATCATTTATAATATAAGCAAATCATTTTAATAGTATGCATTTTTTCAAATTGTTGTTTTGCTAAAGAATTATTTCAGCAGGTTGCATATAAACATTATTGTTTTTTTATAGATTCATATTTACGTATTAATTACAAATATCATTTGAGAAAAAAGTTTGTAAAATTTGAGTTTTGCATGCTTTTTTTTATATTTTTATATCACCAAAGTAACATGGTGACCGAACTCGAAGGCCAACACTCTTCTTCATTTCCAGTAAATTCTAAGATACCACAATGTTCTATTATTGGTCCAGTTTTCCCGACTCATACTACCTTCAATTTTTCAAGTTTTCTATGAACCGCTTCCTTGCTGTTTGTTTTCAGATTTTTATTCAACTTACCATATTTTATATTATATATATATAATGAGTGTTCGTTATAAATTTGAATATTATTATAAATCATTTATTAAACCAAATTTTACCTAGAATTGCCAATCTAATACTAAACATCCTAGTGAAAATAATTTAAATAATAATAATTTAATATTAAAAATATAAAACCATATAAATGTAACATAAAATGTACTATCTTATGAATAATTATTTGTCATAAACTTATCAAATTATTATTATTATTTATTAAATCTACTTTTAAAATTGCAGCCTTTAGAAAATACCAATTTCAATTGATAATGTAAAAAACTACTTTAAAACACAAAAGTTTTTTGAGAAGATTCAAAAAAAAAAAAAAAAAAATTAAAAATAAACATCAACCTTTTTTTCTTTTTTCCTCTGTTTTGTAAGAAATGTTTCTGTAATTGCATTGAGGTTCATTAGAACAACATATTCTATAAGATTCAGAATCACACAACAGAATGTAACAAACATGTAAACATCAATATTTTTCACATAGCTCACTTCTGGAAGCTTAGCATTTATAGAAGCCCAAACAGTTGATACAGTAAGTAAGATGAGAACACACAGTACTAAAAAAAACATAAAATTATAAAAAATATATGCGATATATTATTTACAGTATCTGTAGCAATATATTATTTACAATATCAATGACCAATTTGATATATGTTGTAGCGATGCATTTGTTAGGACTCCTCCATCCTCATCCTCCTCATCATTCTCTCCAGCAAAATATTTTTTAAATCCCTAGTCCCTAGAATTTAGTTTGTTATTTCATAGAGAATTTTTTTCTATTTTTCTAGTGAAAGGAAAAAAGAAAGAGTGATATCATCTGTACTAGGCTTCTCAGTTGTGACAAGATTTGTTTTAAATGTATGACCAATACCTGGTATGTGTAAAATGAAAAAATAAAATAATATTAAATTAATACAATTGGCAAATAAAATAACAATAAATAATTGCAAATAAGTGCGATAATAGGTATGTAAAATATATTTGAACAGTATGATATGTATGTTGATATATATATATATATATATATATATATATATATATATACATATATATATATATATATATATATATATACATATATATATATATATATATATATATATATATATAATATATATATATATATATATATATATATATATATATACAAGCCTTCCCAAGAAAGGCGTGCGGTTTTTTGTCTCGTACGACCACGAAAACGTTTTTCAAGTTAGAGAACGTGATCACGGCCGTTTGCGCAAGTTATATTATATGCGTTATATTCGGGAATACTAATGTTGCTTGAACAAAGAATGAATTTTAAAAGTTATAAGTGTGTTACAAAGTAATAACACTATTATAGTGTTATAAAAGTAATAACACTATTATAGTGTTATTACTTTTGTAATCGTAAGTTTGTTTTACTTTTTATTTTTACGCTAACAAATTTAAGTTGATTCTCCCCTTAAAAACAAGAAACACGGTTTTGTATAAACTAAAATTTTAAATACTAGATATTTTTCTAGATTTTGCGTTTTGCATTCGCTTAATTCAACCCTTGTTGTTTCATTAAAATTATACAAATAAATTTTACAAACACATTACAATTTGTATTTTTGCTATCCTTATAAAAAAAAAATTAAGAAAAGGAAAATCATTATTTCTATTGTAGACTTTAAACTTTTTTTTTTTTGCTTTGCCTTATCTAATTTTGAATTGCTTTTAAATTGCTAAATGTAACTCCAAAGAAACAAAAATAAAAACAGTACAGTATTTTATATATATATATATATATATATATATATATATTATATATATATATATATATATATATATATATATATATATATATATATATATATATATATATATATATATATATATAAATCAAGCCTTCCCAGGAAAAGCATGCAATTTTTCGTCTCGTATGACCACACGCAATTATATTATTTTAGAAAACGTGAACATGGTCGTTTGCAAGTTTTATAATAATGCTGAAAAACTTACGATTACAAAAGTAATAACACTATAATAGTGTTATTACTTTTATAACGCACTTATAACTTTTAAAATTCATTCTTTGTTCAAGCAGCATTAGTATTCCCAAATTTTAATTGAAGTAGAAAAATATCTAGAAGAATAAATTGGATGTTCAAATAATATTAAAACTAAAGTAACTTATAAAAACGTGACAAACAACTTTATTAAAACGTATCGTATTAAAAATTTAGCATAATGAAAAACGTTACGAATGGACCGTAAAAACGCGGGTTAATTTTAAAATTACCCATAAAAATTTTTTATTGGTTGATTTTAAAATTAACGCGCGTTTTTATGTAACGTTTTTCATAATGCTATACTTTTTATAAAGTACTTTTTTATAACGTTGTTTAAGTGATATGTGAAAGTTCCTGATTTTTTTAATAATATTTGAATATCCGCTTTAATTTTTCTAGATGCTTTTCTACTTTAATAAATGTTTGGAATTAATGTTGTTTGAACAAAGAATGAACTTTAAAAGTAATAAGTGCTTTATAAATGTAATAACATTTATAGTTTTATAACAATTATAGTTTTATTACTTTTATAATGCAGTTAGTGACTAAAGTGTTAATCCTTTTGTAGTCATAAGTTTATTGTTTTTGTTTTGTTTTTTGTAACTTTCTTGTTAGAAAACTTTTAATAATTTGCTACTTATAAACAAAATACACAGCTTTGCATGAACTAAAATTTTAAAGACCTAATATTTTACCAGAGTTTGCAAATCGCGATCGTATACTTTAACTCTTAATATAAACTTGTTACATTATAATTATACAAATATATTTTACAAACAGATGACGATACATATTTTCTCTTTCCTCTTTAAAAGAAAAAACACATCAAATATGAGAAAGTCATACTTTTTAATGCCTAAAACCGTTTTTTTATTATTTTTTTATTTTTTTGCTATAACTTAATGAATTTTGTTGCTGATAATAATAACCACTAAGAAAAAACAAAATTAAAAACAACACAAATTATTTAAACTATTATTATTGTTTTCTATTTAAGTTTATTTCAATTTCTTATGTAGTTATTAAATTTAAAACAATTTTTCAGTAACGCATATAATATAACTTGCGCAAACGGCCGTGATCACGTTCTCTAACTTGAAAAACGTTTTCGTGGTCGTACGAGACGAAAAACCGCACGCCTTTCCTGGGAAGGCTTGTGTAGTGTGCAAAAGTTTAGAAACAAACTTTTTTTCAAAAAATGTGTACATTTGTATTAAAATTTGATTGTTTTTTTGAAACAGCTTCTGTGCAAAAGTTTAGCAACTGTATCATCTACAATTAAATCAAGTTTTTGTAAACAAATTTAAAATTTAAGGCCAAAATATTTGTGAAATTTAACAATTCACCTACTTTAAGATGTTTCAAAAGCAGTGAAGAATAACTAATTGCCAAAATATTTATAGACTTTATTATTTTAATTACTTAGTAATATTTTTAAAGAATAGGAAAAAATGTTCTTATACTATTTTTACCTTGAATATAATTAAAATTTATTATAAAAATAAATTATGAAAATTTGTTTAAATACAATAAAATTTATGAAAAATGATTTTAATCACTTTTTTTGTACTTTAACACCATAATTCTCATCTTCATGATTGCATCAAATGAAAAAATTACAGCAACAAAATTAATTAGCCAGAATTAAATTTCCAAAGAGTTGGAAAATTGCAAAAATATTTTGGCGATAAAACATTTTTTGGAGCGTTAACTAAACTCATATTTAACATAAAACATAAGAGAATTAGAAAAAGATTTCTTAAGATATTAGATTTTTAATCAAATCATACCAGAGGTAAGATTTGATTAAAAATCTACATGTATATATATATATATATATATATATATATATATATATATATATATATATATATATATATATATATATATATATATATATATATATATATATACATGTAGATTTTTAATCAAATCTTACCAAATGAAAAAATAACACCTTTTAATTTCGGTTAACAAGCATCAAGAAATTAATGTAAATCAAAAAAAATGGAATTTTACTTGGTTTTCAAATAAAACATTCTACGGCGCATTTTATATTTTTCAATAAACATATCTAACCACTTTTCAATAAACATATCTAATCCATTTCACGACTACATCGGTATTTTCTTTATGGGTATTCATTAGAGAAATAGCATTAATGCTTCTTAATCCAATTTTTTCTTTAGCGCGAATGAAATCTAGAGCTGATTGAAAATCTTTAATTTTAACTTTTTTCTCTTCGTCAATGAAAAAGTCTCGGTGGAGCTGCAGTCTTTGATAATTAGGAAAATCGTCGTTTTAGAAGTTTTCATGTAGTTGATACTGCATTCAGTGTTATTTGATCCAAACTCTTTAACAATTTTTAAATGACGAGTTGTTTTAGTTGATTCAGATTTATCGGTGAGGCCAATAAAACTGCATCTAAACTGGTAAAGTATAACTGCTTTTAGATCTCATTTAGGTCGTTTGGCTGGTAATAAGTATCACTGAAGCCGACTTCGAATCTTGCAGATAAATTCTTCTTCCTGGGCAGAGCTGGTTTGTCTAAACCTATCATTTTAGCTGATTCAGTTGCCGCATTGAAAAGTGTTATAAAACATGACTCAGTACGCAAAGATCTTAAAATTAATTAATAATTTTTTAAAAGTAATCGACAATAATCTGTAATTTAAACAAATAATAAAGTAAATAAAAAATAATAGTAGTAATTAATTTTTAAAATGCGATTGTTATAATTAAAAATAAAAATGATAACAAATATACAAGCATCGCTCAAAATGTTTGCACAAGTAAAAGTAAAAAGTTAATTAAAAATTTAATCAGAGTAAAAGTTACTTAAAAAAGTTTTTAAAAGCTACTGTTAGTTATTTTATATAGTACTTTGTATAAAAATGTATAAACATAGTAAAACTGTTAGTTATTTTATATAGTACTTTGTATAAAAATGTATAAACATAGTAAAACTTCGATTTAAATTTTCTTTTAAAATTTTAAAAAGAAAGACTAAAATTCAAAACGTCAGCGGTGGATGTGCTGTGGTAAATGAGGATGTGGGCGTGCTTGAAATCTTCATAACTTCATGAAGTTATTGTCAAGTAAACTCACTGTTACTTTAAAATTTGCATAAAATAAGCTTCATTACGGTTAAGTCAAGTCCACAAAGGTACCTTGTCTAACTGGCTTTCTTTAACGATTTTTTAATTGATACTTTCTTTTTATTTGAATCTTAAAATTTAATTTAATTAACATAAAATATACACAAAAACAAAAACGCCGCTAATAAAATTACTTTAAAGTACTAGCATAAAGCATGAAAAAAAATCTTAAATTAAGATCAAAAGACTATCTGAAGCTTTATTTTATCGAAAAAACATATTTTTTATCTGAAAAGATTCCCTTGTTCATCAAGTTTTCCAAGTTTTTATTTTAAAAACGATTTTTTGGGGTATGTTTATAGAAAAAGATTATTTATTTCTTCTCTTTTTACGGAAAAACCTTGACTACTTCTTTCTCTATTTAAAAATAAAAAATTAAAATAATATTTGTTATAAGATTGGATAAAATTTTATGGGGGCTACAAATTTTCATGGGGGGTAAGATTGACCCCCAAGAAAAGCAGCCTGGCCTCATTGTACCCCATACTCTACACCTATGTGTGTATATATATATATATATATATATATATATATATATATATATATATATATATATATATATATATATATATATATATATATATATATATATATATGTATATATATATATATATATATATATATATATATATATATATATATATATATATGTATATATATATATATAATATATATATATATATATATATATATATATATATATATATATATATATATATATATATATATATATATTATATATATATATATATATATATATATATATATATATATATATATATATATATATACATATATATATATATATATACATATATATATATATACATATATATATATATATATATACATCAGTCTTCTCTCTTTAGCCAGCGCATTCACGCTTAAGCCTTTTTGCGTTCGTTTTTAAAAATGCGCAGGCCAACCTAAAAATAACTATCCAGCCAGCGTTTTTTCATGCTCTGGCGTTAAATTTCAAATGGAAATATCTTGGGAGTATGCATTGAAAATGAGCGCTTTTTATAAAAATCAATAGTTTTTTTTTGAGAAGACTATCAAACTCAGATCATTCCAAATATTGTTAAATATTGTGAATAATGGATCTCAGCATTTTAAAATACTTTATTGAATTGATATCTTGCAACAATAGTTGCTTCAAAGTACACAATGAATTGTAAAAAAAAAATTGAAACAAGTTTGTGATAATAACAATTTTTTATGTTTACTAGTATGAGTACTTTATTATTTTTACAAAAATAGTCAAGATTTATTTTATTATTATCAAAGATTTATAACAAGTTAAAATTAAAAAAAAGTTTAAAAAGTTAAAAAAAAATTTAGTGCTTAATCTAAAAAGTAAAAGTTGATCACAAAAAACTTTAATTGGCAACTATCTAAAAACTTTAATAAGATCCCTAATTAATTCCAGACATATGAATCATAGATTACAGATGCAAAATTGATTCATTTGTCACAAAAACACCAACAAAAGCACACAAACTAATTCATATAAAGTTTTTTTTAAACTTTTGATTTTAGGTTTTTGTTAAATGTTTTTAAAGGAAAAATTAACATTTTTTTAAAGATACTAAATTATAAAAATTACATTTTTACTATAGATACAAGGTTCTAAACTTTGTGGATTAATGGAATATTTCATATTAAAAATTATAATAATTATCGATTAAATAACATGTTTCTAAATTTAGAATTTCATTTTTAGATTATTCAGAAATACTACTATATGAAATATTATTTAATCTTAATTAAAACATATATACTTTTAACAAACAGCTTATATTAACATATTTGTAACAAACCATACCTGCTCGTACTGGTGGGCAACTTCTTGGCATCCATAGTGCAACCCAAGATAAACAAACAAGAGCAGTAGATGGTATATATATTTCAAATATAGCAAAACCTAGTTGCCTCTGAAATATAAATTTACCATAAAGAACAGATATTTCATTTCCTAAAACAAATATTAAGAAAAGAAATTTGAAAATTGAAAAATTTGAAGATTGAAAATAATTGTATGAAACTCTATAAATTATTATTTCAATATAATAACATAAATGATTATGACAAAAAATCCTTTGTTAACAAAATTTCCTTGCTAGAAGAAAACTACCTCAAAATGCAAAGACAATGTTTAAAAAAACAGTTCAGTCCTTGAAATATTAAATCGCTTCTTTTTATTACATTTTAGTAATAATTCACATAACGCGCTGTAGTGTATTCATTATCAAACAAAATGTATACTAATTTAAATACTTTTTAAAGACTTTTAAATACTCACAATATAAGACTTACAGTAGTAAATACTCACAATATAAGACTTACAAAGTAAATACTCACAATATAAGACTTACAAAGTAAATACTCACAATAAGTAAGTCTTTTAAAATACTCACAATAAGTAAATATTTTTTAATAACTCACAATAAGTAAGTCTTCATAAATCAAATTTAAATCTTCATAGTTCAAAATATGGTTTTAGAGGAACTAATTACAAATTAGTGTCAGAGAAAAGGCACAAAACAATATTAGTATCAATCAATACCTGCTTTTCGGTTTTCTTTCTGTCACAATACAACGCAATATTTATTTTTTGTTAAGTTATTTATGTGCAAGCATTAAAATTATATCATTTTGGTAAAGGACTGTCTGTGCACACACTTTATTAGATTAAAACCATATGAATAATTCAAAGAGTACAAAATTGAAATTAAAATTTTTTTACAAATTTAAACTTTACCCATATCATTTTTTTCGTAAAAAGAACTTGTATTATAGCTCAGTATAGAAAATTGATCCATGTTTTTTATTAGCAAACGAAATCCAGGATTACGCAACCATTTATATTTTATATGCCGTGAACTTAAACCATCTAAATAAAAATGTTATTCA